AACAACAACAACAACAACAACAACAACAACAACAACAACAACAACAAACAAAAACAACAAAACAACAACATAAGAGGACATATGAAAACGAAGAGTTCTGGGGGTAAATTAAAAGTTACATGCTCAAGAGTGTCTCAATAATGTAGTAATATTTTCCAAAGGGAGTAATAGGAAGAAATCGAATCTGAGAAATTAAGGGAAGCGAAGGCAAAGGAGTAACATATTTCTCCACTAAAGCGCAATAAAACTTTATTATCAGGTGTAAATCGCGGATTAAACTTCGAAAATAAATATGTATGTACATATTTTTAATAAGGAAAGAAGTAGAAACGAATGTTAACTGGAATAATGACACCAAAACCAGAACAATTGTATTGTGTCTTCGCTTTATGTGCTGAAGCGCCTTGAAGAAGACCATAATCGATAAGCAACAGTGAAAAGATCTGCCATAATTGGAATCAAGAGGACTATGGACCACTTCTACGCTCGTGCTTATCGCAATACCGTTATGTCCGGTAAGCTAAGGGTCACGTTCTTTAAGTACACTTTCAGCTATTGGCAGTCTAAAAAGCTTTCGAGTTCATTCTGACACGAAATTGTCACTGCATACCTATGCTGAGTTTGAGTGAAACATTTCCCAACCCCCATCTTATCGTAGGAAGACTGGGCAGGGTGTAGTGCTAGAATCATGGATCTGTGAACACGAAATACAAATTGCTCATCATTCTTTTCTATTAGACGTACCACGTAAACAATACAAAGACAAAATAGGAATTATATTCTGATTTTCGATCATATGGTTGTCAATATCATTGGGCTTCCGCACAAGGGAGTAATAAACCTTATGTAAGGTGTCGTGCGGGAACAGCTTCCTGTAAAATCCTGTAAATTCCTACTATTCGTACTGCTGCTGGAACGCAACTGCTTGGCGTTCTGAATTTTGTAATTTATGGAGTAGGTACCAACTTCTTGTACGTAGAAATATTATCATACACAGATAAACGTGTGGCATGAAAGACAAAAAAATAAAATAAAATTTCCAATAAAACCATTTTTTCGCACATGAAAAACAAAAACAAAGATTGTGCAAAGAAACATTTTGGCTTTCCCTGAGTACTGGCGACATGTTAACAAATAATCTGTAAAAGAATATGTGCAATCATATAACAACAATAGATAAATATTTAAGCTTTTTTCGAAACTGAGATTTAATCAGGTACATGATAGGTGTGTATTCAGTAAATGTGCAAACATGACTCACCTGTGCCATTTGCGGCTTGCGATTAAAGTCCCGTGGATCCATACTATTGGCATCCAAATAAATGACCAGATTACAAAGCAAAACTCCATCGCGTAGCGTCAAGGCAAGTACCCGTATTTCGGAATCTGGCCAATTCGCTTTATGATCGGGTGGTATTATTTTGCAGCGTGTCAGCCAGGCAACACACTCACGCCACAAATCACTGTTTCCACCAGCAATACCACCGCCGGCGGCACCCAAGACGCCACCACTACCACTGCTACTATTTGCCGCCATGGCCATGGTATGAATGTTGTGTGGACTACAGATTTAAGTGAATATTTGTTGCTAAATGCTCCTTGAGCAAGCTGCTCTTGCGCTGATTAGCTGATAAATGCGTACACTTTATTCCAAAATTATATTGCTGAGGTTAAAAATATGCTAGGTCTATGTGTACGGATGCGCGCGGGATTTTATATTGAACTATGATGTAGGACAATATAACTATGAACAATAAAAAGATGTAAGTTCTATACAATTTATGGAAACAATTTACATAAATTCTTTTACAGAAAATCGTATTAGTGTCACAATTCTTTTTTGCCATATAAGCGCGCCACCATTGACAGCCAAGCCATATGAGCACATATGCAGTTATTAAACACAAACATAAAACACACACACGAACTTGTATCTGCGGACGCACAAAAAATACACGCGGCTATACATACGTACGCTATGGAATTGCACGGTCTTCTATACGCTTTCAACAAATCATCACATAAACAATTATTGCCTTTTCTCTATAGTAATAACAATATTTGCTCGCGTTCGCACATCGTATATTTGCAAATTTCTTTTAATTAATAATAATTTGAAAGTATGTATGTTGAATGCCCACATTTATCGCCACAGATCTCATTGAATACTTTCGTTTTTTTTTTCTTGTTCTGCGTAAATATTTCTGCAGCGCTTTGGTAGTGTTTCATGGGCGTGCTCTTCTGCTTTTGCCTGGCGTCAGTGGAATTGGAAATAATAAGAAAAAAGACGGCGACGGCTGTTTCCTTCACTACAGCCTATTGGGCATTGGATTTCATTGAGGCTGTTAACAAGGACGGTCACACTTTCAACGCAACAAATTGTTGTTTTCGGAGCACAGAAAATATGTCCCTTGATTATTCACTACACACAGAAACTATTTTCCTTATTCACAAATGAATCAATTACACTCAACCGCTGCTTGCGAATTTTATTTATCCTCTGAACACGAAAATACTCCAAGCTCCTTGCGTCCTGTCAGCGCAATCATCGAAGCAGCAATTTGACATTTGGCGGCAGAGATGGAGCTTCGGAGTGTTGCCACACTTGTTGCGCCTATAAGTGAATCAAAGGCACAGGGGAAGAATATGAACCAAAACTACATTTTAAATTATAGCGTCATTTGTACGAAATTAAGTTTGTTAGTTATTATTTGCCAGTGTTTAACTGAAAGCCATTTTAACCGTAATTTTTACGGGTTGGCGGTTGTTGGTAAATACAAAACGCTGGCAAGTTTCGTAGGCTACTTACGAATGTCATGCGATGCAATCATGCGATTGGGGCTTAAAGGGTTGCATTTATTTTGTTTTAGTGTTTCAGAATGTTCAAAAAAAAAGGTATTCAAATATTTTAATGCTACTTTGTATTCAAGTCAAATTGAGGTCCGATATATGATATGGTCGACAAAATTTCTATTGACTGAATTTTTAAATGCTACTTTTCGTTCATGTAAAATTTAGTTCGATATGATGGAAGCAAAATTGTATTCCCAAAAAAAATAAAAAATAAAAATATGATACCGCTGAACTTTCTGTTAAACTTACCCAATATACTGATCAAGTGTGAACAACTTATTAACGAAATAATTCGTATATGGTTGTTATCTTTATTAACCGACTTATAAAAAGGGAGAGGTTATCAGTTCGTCGGAATACTTTTTTTTTTTTATGTATGTTACCGCATAACTTTGGACCACGTCACGTTCGATAATTCTTTTTGCATCATAAAGGCAGTGTCTCAGAGGTGGTCCCATACTAATCTGATTAAGATCCGATGAGTGGATCATGAGATAGATATATATGTTTTTTTTATGAGAGTTGAAGTCGGTTTTTTTTTGCTAAAAATTATTTGTTTTTCAATGAGTTATCATACAGTGCTGTTCTTTATACATATAAGCTTTTATTTATATATTTATTGTAAGTGCGTGCAACTAATATTTTATTTTGAGTACATTAGAAAAAAATTCCAATTTACTGCTTTCTGATTTGGAAAAAAAAATGTATATATATATTTATATTCTGGAATAAAACGTAAAAATAACGATGTTTCAGGGAAATAAAATAAACTTCTTAAGCTGATTACAGTTATTTCTGCCACTAAGCGAGCGATTCTTAAGATTATATACATATGGATGTATATACTATTTTTCAGATTTCTGAATTCATTTGCATTTGTTCAAGGTAATTAATTATATGTATGCAGTACACGTCTCTTATGGAACGATCAGGCGTAAATACGAATATGTATTAATGAGAATAGTCACAGTATACTTAAAAGCTATAGATAATTAAAACATTAAGTGGAGTTAACAATTATTGCTATAGTAGTCCTTTATATACATACATATGATCGGCTATGTACATATAGATAGCATGTATCAAATATTTTATAAAAACGAATGTTTGAAAATTTATCCAATTCCGAAGCTCCTTAATTTGCATTACCATGTAAATGCGAAAGCAGCGATTCAATATCGTCCATTTGGAGTACTTCTGTAGTACCTGCAGAACTCTTTGTGGTTGGTTTCGTTGGCAGCGTGGATTTTGTCGCGGCGGCGGCAGATGTTGTTGGTTTTCTATAATTTAATGATACTTAACATAAAAAAACTTGAAGAATATAAAGAACACTTACGATAACAGTTTTTTAGATTCTTGTGTGCTGCTAGTAGCTGGTGCAGATATTGGTGTCGATGTTGCAACTGGTTCAATCTCCCTTGTACTGCTACTAGCATTTTTATCAATGTCAGTGCTGCTACCAGGCGTCAGTGTCGACGTTGTTGTGGCTGTTGCCAGAGTTGTTGTCGTGCTATGCACTACCCCCACCATGGCTACATCATCCTGATCACTGCTACAGGTATTTATACGAACCTTACGCTTTTTTGGTATATTTCGTATTTGCTGCGTTGCGGGCGATAAGTGGAATAGCATTAGATCATCGCTTACACGCCAAATATGTTTCTCATCCTCATCGAAAGCGACAACCATTTTGAAGTTTGTAAAATCTCGCCGCGGCAAAGGATTAGGTGGTGGCATATCAGGGCCATCGTAGGTAACCGATATGAAACGCACTGGATCCTCATCGGTGACTGTAACGAGTTCACAACCTTCCAAGGGATCATCCTCAGAAGTTTCGGTTGTAGCAGGTTCCATATTTGTTGTAGATGTTGGAGTCGCTGGACACTCTTCGATAGTTTGCACAGTCTCTCTCGTTTTCGGCGCAGTTGATTTCTGCTGCGCTTCGATATTTCCTTTTTGGACAGCCCATTTTTGCTTATCAGCGGACTCAGCTTTTTGCATTGGTTGGATTTCGGGCTTAGTTAATTTTGCCTTTAGAATATCAGCGGCTCGACTATCGCTTTCTGTGGTCATCCTTTTAGGTTTTGGCATATCTCCCTTTTTAACCGCAGCACTTTTTTCTGTGTTTTCTGGTGCGACTGATTTTTCATCTGGCAAATGTTTATTGGGTTTAGTTGGCTTTGTCTTAGATGCCTCAGTCTGATCCGCAACTTCCTTGGCTTTGGGAACGTCTGTGTTAGTTTTAGCTTGTTCAGCATCCTTGGCCAATTTCATGGATTCAAATGGTGTTTTGGATGTTTTAGTTGTTTTTCCCGACTGCTTTCCTTCTTCGGCTATATCAGCAGCGCTCTTTTTCTCGTTCTCTGTTTTATCACCGTTTTGGGTATTAACTACAGTCTCCTTAGCAGGCACCTTTTTTTGCGCTGAGGCTGTTTTTGGAACTTCCGCGTCAACTGGTTTTTGGATTGGGACCGTGTCTTCATGCGGCGCTTGTTCGATTGCAAGCCTCGCTGCTTCACATTGCATATTTTGCGTTGCCTCTTGACTTTTCGTTATTCTTGGCCGCCCTGGCGAGATTTTAATTCGCGCTCCTAGCAATGATTTAGCCGTAGTAGCCCTGGTCTTCATACTTTTGGTTGTTTTAAGTTTTTTTATTGGTTTAGTTTGAACTTCTTCTAGATCGTCTGCATTACAGTCCTTAGCCTTTGCATTCTTGATACCCTTTAAGCGCGGCGAAACACGTATTTTGCTACTCGTAGCTGCAGTTGTTGTTGTTGTTGTTGTTTTAATTTTTATTTTTGGCACCGGACTAATACCAGCACGCGTGTCTTCTGGGCTTCCATCGCTATCATCTCTGACCTTCTCTGCCAACTTACGAGGCGACTTCACTTCGTCGATTCGCCCTGCTATTTCAACCGCCTCTCCTGCTGTTGTGCCCTTGAAGCCAAGTGGATTACGTACAATTTTCTTGCGCCCAGCTCCCGAAGAGCGTGTTGACTTCAATACCGGTAATGCTTCAATTCGCAAGCATTGCCGTTGCTTGGCTTTCACCTTCGAAATCAGTGTCTTCAACGGCAAACGTTCAGATTTCTCTGTTAATTCATATGTTGTTGTTATAGATGAGGATGTTGTGGCGCTTGAAAAGAGCGTTGATGTTGCATTATCGTCTAGGGCACTTATCAGCGGTGCTATAGCAGATGTTCGCGTCTTCGGCTCACTCACCCTTGTTTGCTGAGACTTCCTCGCAGACAATTGCAGCGCTGTCAGCACTTCCATGGTACGTTTCTCCTCCTGGACGAGATGTGGCTCCAGCGTTGTTGATGTGGCTGCTGATAATGGAGACTTTGTTGGTTGACTCTTACCTTTCTCTCGCATCGCAGCAATCTTCCTTGTTGCGCTCAACGCTGCAGTAATACCACTTGGCGGTGTCGATGGAACGTTCGATCGTTTTTCCCGCCCCTGATTGGCGTCTCGTTTTAGTTTCTCCATCATACGTTCACGCTTCTGCTGCAGATCTTCCTCTAAGCGATTCTTTTTCTCGGCAGATTTCAGCGGTACAGTAACCTTAATTATGGTCGGTAACACGCGCTCTTGCGCATCTCTAGCTGAGTGTTGATCTACTTTGCTTGGTGTTAGCCAACTGCGCACCGGATAGCGCACTTCACCATCATTACCCACCAGCTGCGAGTTCTCTTCCTCTGTTACAGCCAACTTCTGCCACTCCTCATCTTCGGTGCTACTAATAGACGAAAGATTATCCAGCGATAAGCGCAGGTTATTGTCTGGCGATTTTTTCTGCTCTTCGGCCTTAGCTGTAGCTGTCTCTTTGAGTAATGCTGCACTCGAATCCGACGACGAGCTTGAGCTGGACGAGGAACTGTTCGATGAGGACGAAGAGGACGAGCTCGAAAATGTGCTAGATGAATTTGACGACTCTTCTTCGGCGCAAATTTCAGGCAATTCAGAGGCGAGCATGTAATGTGGATCGATATTTATAGACGCTGTCGCGCCTTCGCCATCTTCCGTGCCTTCGGCACCAAATGATTTTACACGTTTCAGTACTATCGGTTCAACTCTTAGCTTCTCAGCGGGTATTTCAACGCAAATGGCGTCCTGTTTTTGCTCCATGTGCAGTTCTGTCGTCTCCCTTTGGTCTTCGAATAGTAAATTTTTAACCTCTGCTGCATGGGATTGCTTTTCCTCTTCTTTTTGCTTCTGCTTTTGCGCTGAGTCTTTTAGAAGTTTGTCGAATTTTCGGTCCAAATCATCGGATTCATCAGGTTTATAGTACGAGCCACCGGAGGAGTAATCAGTCGCAGGCGCAACGCTGCGTGGTGTCACATCCCGACTGGAACCGAAAGGTGTGAAACGGATTCCGGGCGTTATTGCGCTCAATTGGGGTGTTTCTAGTTCACTTTTTGTTAAGGAACCAAAAAGATATGACGTTGAAAGAGGAATATCCCCTAATTTCAATGCAGGTGTGTCTAAAATGGGCACCGGCATGCCAGGCGTCGGCGGTACCTCACCCAATGTTGTAGGCGCCTTAAACGGCGTTTCTAGCAAGCAAGCAATATTGGCTGTGCGGCGATCGCGTTCGTGTTCCAAGCGATTTTCAGTCCTTTGCACAGTTGGTTTGCACTGTTCCTTTCGTTCAGTCCGATTTTGCAGCGTTGGGCTATCAGCAGCATCAGCAGGCGGATGTGTTGCCAA